GCCCATTGGCTATCTACTACGACACCGCTTTACAGTTCACACCCATTTTACGTTCGGCTCACATCTAAACTTATTTATTAAATGTTGGACAGTAAATTATTAATCACATACGTCTTCTAAACTTCTCCAAAAAATTAGATGATTTTACACTCTTTCCAACATGCCGTCGAGTATTTCTACAAGTTGAATTGACTAGAAATGAATGAATTTGAGGATATTTAAGGTCAGAATCGTTATCGATGGCCGTCGAAAATCAAACCGTATTCAATGGAAAATATTCAAGTAATAAGGAGAAACGTAAAGTGAAACGATTAAAGAAATATGTCAATGAAATTCTACTCCTTTCTGGTGAGGATCCGTCACATCCTCTGGACACTGCCGACATAGAAACGTCAAACGGCCGCCAAACAATGAAACGTAAGAATTCAGTCTTTATTCTCTTCTCAGCTTTGAATAGGATTCGAAATCATTTTTGAAATCGAGTGGTCTCTAGGATGTATTTCGTGAATGAAATGGTGCCATTTTTAGAATTATTTTTGAAAGAATTTAATTGTTTCTTCAACTTCAGAGAATGATATTGCAATGAAAGTGTCCAGGAAGCTACACTGTCTGCGTGAAGAGGTTGCTCCACAGCCACAAATTGAATTCCGAACGAACGGCTTACGAGGAAGTCGTCTTGGGAGTGAACGTATGTTGCTTGATTGTAATTAATTGTCCAGTTGAATGGATATAATAATGTTGATGTTGATTACTTTGAATTCAACAGCAGAAAACCGCTTAGCTTCCATTGCATTCGATCCTGTGATGCCTCAAATGTCGTCCATTATATAGAAATGCCCAAAAATGATGGAAGCATAACATTGTTCGTGTGAAAGCCATTGATGTTTATCTCTTCTTGCGAATGTGTGCTCATTTCGAATATCTATCCGATTCTCCAGGCTCATTCTTTATGACTATGATGTCGTTCATCTAAAAAAAATGCAGAAAAAACACGTGATGCTTATTCCAGATATAGCTCAGCTGGCACATCGTAGTGTTTCGA